CATTACTTAATATTAATTAGAATTTTAAGATCTCTGAAGACACACACTCCATAAAAGAGAAGAGTGTCAGACTCCACACAAAATAATAATAATAATAATAATAATAATAATAATACACTTTGTATAATTTTCCAGGTTGATTCAGGCAAATCTTTCCTTTATGATTTTTCATTTTTTTTTAATGTGATAGTTTCAATCAATGATCTGAGGTTTAAAACAGTTTCATATTACACTGATCAACAAGACAGAGCGAGTTGGGACGCGGTATACACAGAACTATTATCTCTTTGTCTCCTGAGTGCTAACTTTTGTCTCTAAAAATAATACATTAGTGTCCTAGAAAACCAACATTTTTGCTTCAATAGAGTTGCTTTGTTCATCTTTTTATGCTGAAGGTAMGAAAAGGTTTTATATTAACACTTAATTAGGCCCTTAATTTGAGAAAAAAACAAATCCAGCAATATTTGATTGTAAATCTACTTCACAGTCTATAATATATTTTCACAAGTATTATGTTGTAGTTTTTTCTTCATGCCTTTAACAAATTTAAACCATGGAAACAAACCCACATCGTGTTTTAATTATCTGCAGCGCAATTAGAGCTGCCTACAGCCAAAGAAAAACAGAATCATGTGGTAATGATCTTAAAGTTAATTTGTTGTATTCAAAAATTCAACAGTCCTGGGTGGCAAAGCACACACATCTTGACAGAGAAATGTATTTTTAATACATTCTTTGAGAGATTATCTTGAGCCAAAATCGAGGAGTCACCAAACAGCAGAAGATAAGTATCTATTTATAGTTTATCTCTTAAAAGCTAGGTGTAGTCTCAGGGCAACACACCTTAAAACATAAATGATATCTGGTCATAAAACAATTAGAGTGACTACTGAACTACAGGAAGTTCAATGAAGGTTCTCAAGTTTCACTTCTTAGTTCCTGCCTAAAAGAAACACGTTCTTTGTTACAGAGATTAAAACACATAACAATTATAACAGACATATAGTAATTTATGAAAAAAAATGTATTTATAATATTTAATTTCTAAACTTGAAGATGTGCAGTTTAGTATTTGGTGGTACATGTGATGATACATTACATTATTATGACATGTATTGGATATTAACATGATAAAGATTATTAATGATATATTTATAATAACGTGATGGTGCGTTAAAAAGCGCAAACTTCCAACTGTTCATAAACCAATAAAAAAAAGGGGGATTCAAAATCCCACCTTCGTCAAACTTTTTAGTGTCATCTGGCTCACCTGTTGCGGGCTCCTCGCCTCCGTTCCTCCAGCAGAGTCTCACCCTCCACGCGCTGATGTCCGCTGTWGTTCCACCTGAACAGAAGAGAATCCAAACAGCGCCGCGTGCCTGGAAGTCTGAACTGAGGGTGACAACTCGCTGACAGTTCCCCTCGCGCCGTGAAAAGAGAGAGGGAGACAGAGGGAAGGAGAGAGGGGACGATGCTGCCATCTGGTGGCTTAAAGAAACCATGACGCGACAACAGTGAACGCAGCAATGCTGCCTTCAGGGGTCACAGGTTCTGTCGAACATTTTTTAACCACATTGTGTTCCTTTCTTTGTCTGTTAGCAAAATATCTACTGAACCAATGGACGGGTTTTAATGAAACTCTCCAAAAATAATCATCAAATATCCATCTACAACTCCAACGACTTTGGAGCCAATTCCATTCAAGATGGCCGCCAAAGCCAATGACTTATCAAACATTTAAACACAAAAACATAAATAAATACAATTTGTAAAAACATTATGCTCAAATTTGGTGTGGTAGTAGCTGTGAGTCATCCCCAACACATACTCTGAACACTAAACCATGCATGATCAGTTGAACTACTGGACTGGAATTTTAATTAAACTCCCATAATTTAATCATTATATACACATCTAACTGATGAAGCTTTGTGCTCTACTCCAATTAAAGGAGACATATCATTATATTTATTTTTATTTTTTATGGGTTATCAAATTCATTTTCATTGGGGGCCACATGAGCACTATTAACCTATAAATGGATTATAATGAAACACTGAAGTAATAAAACGAAACATACAAAATATAATAGTTACTTAATGGGCTTTTAGATCTAATTACCTTTAATAGTCAACCCAGTTCAAGATGGCTACCGCAGCTAATTAATATTAACAAACAGAAAAAAACAGCTATAAATTAGAGTCATGTTCCTGTAAAATAAATGAATTAATTAAGATAATATTTTTAAAAAATGACTCCCTACTTATGAATTGTTCTGTGGTGGCATCTCACCACTAGATGTCAGTAGATGACTAAGGATTAAAATCCACCTCAGGTTTGAGTCATTTATACTTTAAAATACTGAGTTTGGACCATGAGCGTAATTTGCAGGGGGGTTAGGGGGGTTATGACCCCATAATTTGATTTAATCAATATTACCCCCCCCCCCAATAAACTGACAACTTTTACTCTACCTTAATAAAAACTACCTGTTTAAGTACACAGCTTAAACTTTCTTGTTGTCTTTAACTCTGATTTCAAAATATATGATGTCACATATGTGTTTAATCATAACAGCTGAAAATAAAATGCAGGGTTTCAGTCTGCTCTTGTCATATTATGGCTGTATTGACTGAACCATCATTTTTTTTAGACAAATTATAGTTCACCAGATAAATACATACTCTTAGAAAATTAAGAAATTAAGGTATAAAACATGCGAAGGCGCAGAGTAAACACAAAAAAATCATAGTATAAGCATTACAATGTATTTTAACCCTAAAATATCCTGAATCGTTTTGCTAAATGATCCAATAAATAAATAGGCAGACAGCATAAACTGGAATTTGTTGTGCATGTTTTTTTTTCATTATGTCATTTCCTGTCTAACACCTGCTGCTTCTAAAACATAAATGCAATTTGCTCAGTAAACGAGGAGCCGCTCAGCCTCTTTCCTGCTCCAGCTATCTTTGATCATTATGACCTCATCAAACAGGCTTACGCAACAGGCCAACAGGAAGCATTGATCTGTCTCTGATTGATTGGTTCAACCAGAAGGAAGGGGGGCAGATGTGTAGCAGCTATGCTGTGGCCTGGAAACGTTTGGCACTTCTTCGAAAAGCAACAGTACATTCTCAGAGGACTCAGAATCCAAAAGTTGTTGTTTAATTCACCAAAAGCTGTCAAATAAAAAAAGGGTAGAAAAACCTGTCCAACACATCAGCAGAACACAGGATGGAGTGGGCTGTTAGTGTGTGTGTGTGGTGGTGGTGGTGGTGGTGGTGGTGGGGGTCCTTCAAATAATTAATATTCACAGTCAGACGGAAAGTCTGGACTCGCCTTCAGGTGGAACAAAGATATGCAGCACATTTAATGACCCAAATGTGTGTCTGTGTGTGAGAGGTGGGCTGAAAAAAAAAAAAAAAAAGGAGCAACATGAACCGGGAGTGAGTCAGATTTGTTAACGATTTTCCACTTGGCCCAGAAAGTTGTGGAGAGAAAAATAAGGGTGGAGAGGAAAACAAAAGGGATCTCTGGAAGTCCATTGACACAGAGCAAATACTGTAAATACTGCAAATACTGCAGGTTCAGAAATTTATTTATTTATTTATTTATTTATTTATTTATTTATTTATTTATTAGTGAATCATTTTTCAATGAGCTCAAACTCACTTTAATTTAACCATTTCATTTAATTTCATTTCATTGTAAGGTTTGTACATTTTGTGATTCAGAGATACGTACCAACCAGGTACCCTGTTTACTCAAGTATAATACAATTTCAAGTATAATAAAAACATAATTTTTTTAACTTAAAAAGCATAAAAAATCTAATCATAAAGCCACCACTCATTTCAGACAGACTTCTGGATTTTTCAGCCTTTGCGGGGCGCCCTCTGGTGGTGAAACATTATTTTTGGTGTGGGCGTGTTTTGCTGCAGAGGACAAGCAACACAAGTTTCCAGTTCAGTGTGTGATTGATAAAAACAATCTGCTCCCAGACCAGAATAAAAATTAGTAAATTATGAAGATGTATTTATCAGAACATGCAACTAAAGTCCAAGTCTTCTTTACATCGCCACGGTTAACAAGAAAATAAAAGTTTTTTCTTCATTGACTCCAGTGAGTAAACAACTACTGTTTATGCTTTGCTATGCGCGACTTACAACGGGAGGAAGGGGGATATTTCAATTATATACGAGGAAATATTGAAATTTATTGTGGTTGTACATTAAAAAAGTCTATCAAAATTTACTCTTGTGTATAATACTACCCCTTACTAGCATACACACTTTAAGAATGGTTTTTGGGTTTAAATTTCTTGTTATATACACAATTAAATAGTAAGAAGTCAATACATTTTATTTATTAGCCATCTTTCAACGTAAAACTCATAAGATGCTTTACATCAAATTAATTTAGGTTACAAGATAAGAAAGAAGTAAACATAATAAAAACCAAAAAATCATCAGTAAGTACCAATGTACTGGACTGTGTACCAGGTGAGAACGGGGTAACAAGGCACATGATAAAACAGTCCATTTTTATTCTATATATGAAATTCAATAGTTTTATATTTGTATAGCCTATGTTCATTAGAAATGATGCATCGTCCTTTTTTACTTTAATCRTTGCTAAAAGTACTAATTATGTTTTATTTTGGAATGTTACAACTTTACCTGCACTGCAGATGGAAATTAGCCATTGACTAAATCTAAATCTAAATCTAACAAAACACAACTAATAAAGTGAAATAAATAAAGTGAATCAAAGCTTCCCAGAAAACACTCATGTTTTATTGTGTTTTTTTTAACAGGACAGCTTGACTACACAGAGCACTTACCTGCTGTACCTTCTGCGTTTGATTCCACTGCACCATCCAGAGTGGTCATGTGCACACATTTACCCCC